AGGTAACCCTCTTTGTGTCGAATTAATATATACGAGGACGGCCCAATAAGTACTGAGGCTCACCGCCTGATGGCGCCACTATCCCAAGAGAAATTTACTATTGTGTAGTACATTCCCGTAGATGGATACTATCGAAATTTTAACCGAGTCGCATTTGTAGTTTTGTTTTGATCGCATGTGGAAGCGGGCGTGTTCGCGAATTTTAGAAAAATTAAAAAAAGAGCAATACCGGTCGGTGACTGGTGAGGCGAGCGGGTTGAACATGAATACATAAAATTGAAAGAATAAAACACAGAGGACAATCACCGGTGATTCGATTCTTGTTTTTGGAAGGGAGATCGCGTAGTGAAATCAAGGAGCGCCTGGATGCTGCGTACGGTGACTCTTCTCCTTCGATGGCGACCGTAAAAAATTGGTTTAACAAGTTTCAACGTGGTCGCGCGTCGATTTATGATGAGTCACGCCCAGGTGCCCCGAAAACAAATACCACGGAGGATAATGCGAGAAAAATCGACGATCTCGTATTGGCAGACCGCAGATTGAAGGTGCACGAGATAGCTGAGACAGTAGGCATCTCAAAAGCCGGCGTGCTCCGAAGAAGGCGAAGACTGTCCTATCGGCCGGAAAGGTGATGACCATCGTTTTCTGAAATTCACAAGGTGTGATCTATATCGACTACCTGGAGAAGGGCAAAACGGTCACAGGGCTGTACTATGCCAAATTATTGGGCCGATTCGCACCGAATTGTAGAAAAAACGGCCCCATTCGGCGAAGAAAAAAGTGCTCTTCCACCTTGTCAACGCACCGGCTCGCACCTCCGCCCATCGCCACGGCCAAATTGGTCGAATCGGTCTACGAACTTCTGCCCCATCCACCGTATTCTCCAGATTTGGCCCCTGGAAGTTCCTTCACCCTTCGCATTTCGTTCGACCCCGATAGCACATTTTACATTAGATTTTGACTGCTTTAGCAAGACGTGCACGTCTCAGAAGCTAAAACCGTCGCTTCTTTGTTGTACGACCAAATCATGGTGGAACTATTTCGCGCAAAGCATGAAGAATGCGCAAATCGTTTTGTTTTTCTTGGTGGGGGAGAAAGAGTATGCGAAGAAGTGCGGCTCGCGGCTCCCTTCCCTGCCCCTACTCTCCCCCCCCTATCCCCCGCCACCCTCCCAGTCACACGAGCAGTTCCCCCAAAAAAGAAATCGAACGCGTTTTAAATCGAAAGACAGGCTGCGGCTTGGTAGTCTTGGGCTACCTTGCGTAGGGATGGACTGCTTTTGACTCGGATAGATTGAAAGTAGTTCGAGTTTCGTTTACTGTTCTGGACAAAAGTCCGCCCCCCCCCCCCCTCCCCCCTCCACACCCCTCTTCGCGGCTCTTGGAACTTTCGTGGTTTTGCTTGCGGCTCTTAGGCTGAGTCAGATTGGCTACCGCTGTTCTATTCAGTAACGCATTCTAAAAGGGAATAATGAGCTGGACGTTTCGCTTGCTTAGCCTCAGAAGCTGTCATTTTGCAATAAGAAACTTCACTCAAACTCTTTATTGCCTCGCCACTATTTTTTTATCTATATTATTGGACACGTAGCACGCCTGAAAACAAACAGGCGTGCACTTATTCTAAATTTTTCTAGGTTAAAAAACAACAGCAAAAAAAACTCGAATTGTAACTTAACGCTTCCTTGGAGAACTTGGAGAAAATTTTCGAATAGCATAGAAAACCTTTGCGTTAACGCTGCGTACGACGCGCTCCAGTTCTAAGCAAAAAGCTGCGGAGCGCGTCAAAGCGGCACATTTAGAACAGCAGAACGCAAACTTATACTCAAGCAGTTGCAGCGCCATCTAGACTTCTCTAAGCAATCCAAAGCCGGTGTTTGGTCAGCCAGACCAGGTCTCGCGCTTTCACCCGCGCGACGAGAGCAGCGAAAGTGGCACGCAGAGGAGCGCGTCGTGCGCACACACGCAAAACTCGATAGCGAGCGTAGATACGTGTGGGTCGGTGCGTTGCGTACATATGGCGCATGCGCAGCGTAGAGAACAAAGTGCTAACGCAAACGCACAGTGGGGTTTTTTAGAATAACGTGCGCAATTTTAGCGCACTCTAGCGCTAAATTTGGCGCTTTGGTTAGCGCACGCTACGCAAAAGAGTTTTAGAATAGCGTTTCTCTGCCGCGACGCAAAAGCCCAAGCATCTCGTGCTTGCAATGCCACCAAGATACTGTCACAATTTTTATTTCGCATACAAAATACTGTAACTTTAAGAAAAAAAAAAGAGTTTGATTTAAAGTATTATTCTCGATTTGTTTAAACGCGAGAATGCGACGCGATCGGTCGACCGGTCGTGTCCGCTTGCGTAGCCTCTGCAAGAGAGGTCTCGTGTACTGACCTTCACGCACCGTACCTTCGCTGAGAAACGTTTGCGAGTCGCAAGCATCAAGTTGCCGGTGATCGTTTCCCACCTTACTGAGTTTTTTAAACCGAATCCAATGTCGTCCCGTCCCGTATTTGAAATCGCGGTGGCGAGGATGCCACCGACGTCGGGTTCACGACGCCGCCAAAGCGGTCGCAGCCATGGCTGGAAGTCGCCATTGTTAACTGTGCTCGTCTTGACTTCAGTCAACTTCTCATTAAAAAGCCTCCTTGTAGGAGCGCAAAGACGTTTGCGTGCGCGCGCAATTTCTTAAAAATAGCGTACGCTAAAATAGCGCAGGCAAAGCGCAAATCGTGGTTAGCGTTTAGCGCTTGCGCAGTGGCGGCGACGCTCTTCTTTGCGGGCGCAAAACTTTAGCGCGTACGCAAAACTCGCCACCGAGCGTACGTGCATAAAGCTCGCGGCGTTGCGTACGTATGAAGAATGCGCAGTGTGGAGCGCGCCAGGTTAACTCAAACGCAGTGTTAGCGATCGCGCCTTTGCGCAATACTAAAACTCGCCAATATTTCCCGACGAAGGGAGCGACCGGAGGAGAGCTTTGCGCACAAGGAATTTGGCTTGCCAATGCTTGGACATGTACTCTGAGAATACCTTGGACACGAGGGGGACGTCAGCGTTCGGCGTAGACTCGGAGCAAATCACACGCTTTGTGCCCAAGAAATGCCGACCGCCAACGTAGTTTAATGGGGTTTTGGAAGGGGTCCAGTTTGCTGCCGTACAGGAAGGATTCGGGTGAATACAGATTAGATTATCTTAGAAGACACGTTGATGCTCTATTCGAAAATTACTCTTCACAGTGGGTCTATGTTAATTTTAGTTCGTGTGTTAACCGTCCTTAGAACATAATACACTTCTCCAGGTGCTTCGTATTTTAACTGCTGACGAGTTTTTCATTGATGGCACGGCAATACATGGTATTGAAAACTCTTCTGATTCAGAGATGCGCAGAAAAGTCAACGGTCGGTCTCAGCTGATAAAATACGTTGTATTATATATACATATATAACATGCTACAGATTTTCTTACATTTTCTTTTTGCAATTGATAAAGAACATAAACAATAAAAGGCTAGCCCCATTCTTCCGATTGATACCAGCTGCGGTAGAATAGTTCCGAGACTACTTTGCGTAAAGAAAGAAGGCACCAATTTGATGCGCGCGCATATCAGTCGAAAGCAGGGATTTTCAGGTGTCTTTATGTCAAAGGGCATTCATTGTTCTGTGATCGTTGGGAGCAACACTACATTCGTTTTTTTTTTTTTAATTATTATTATGTGGGGGAGCAGATTGGCGAACTTGGCATGGACTCCAAACCGGCGGAAGAGCGATCTTCAAGTCTGCGTCAGCTCGTCAAATCTGAAACACATACCTTTAAAACAATTACGCAGGATTGTAGCAAAAAGGGCAACGACTCGTGCAAGGTGTTTTGAGTGGCACTTGCGCTTCAAGAATGACAGAACGCCACTAAAAGACGAAGAGAAGTAAGGTGACTTTCCTCGACTTTCCTGCGTCCACCTTTGATGTTCTGCCACAGCGTCCTATAACTATCCTATTGATGGTTTTCCCCGGCTGCGCATGGGCGCCATCATAACTTACCTTAATGTTTATACCGCAATGCTCATGTTCCCAAGACCGGCTTGGTATCAAAATGTCCTTGCTAATTTTGTTGGCAGGGCATCTCGGCGAGGCAGTAGAAGGTGAGTTACGGCATCGCAGCTTTGGCGTGCGGAAAAAGCTCCATTTTCGGCCCCACATCGAATGTAACAACACCACATAGACAGAAGGCCACCGCACGCGTCATCCCAGTCAGATCGATTGAGGCGTGAGATTGGGCCCAAGTGCTGCGTCAGTGTTCGGCTGGGGCTCGGGTCCAATCAGCGCGTCGAAGGTCGGGCTCGGGGCCAATAGCCCAGTTAGCGCGATCCGACTCTGATGACGTTTCATAGAGGGAGAGGAAACCATGCGGAGGCTTTCTGTCTAGGAGGTGATGTATATGGTCCTGAGGCGACAACGAATGACGTCACAAGAGCCGGACTGTCATGCCATCGGATGTTGCGATCCTGGGTGTTAGGTCAGAGCCTCATATATAATCTTTGCTCTTTCTGTCGAATGGGAGCACGTGCCATGATGGGGTCAGGTCTCTATGGCCAGGTGGCCGAGTCTGCTAACGCAATGCATCTTGGAGCGCGTGGAGTGAAAGCTCGTGTGAAGAATCCAGGAATTCTGGGTTTCATTCCACCCTCGCAGGTTTCGATCTGGATGAGTATTTTACACGCGTGCGGTAGTGTATCACCTGTGCGTGATGCACGTTAAAGACCCCAGGCTGCAGTGCTACTGCACCGGATAAAGTGCTCATGTACTGCTGAGACACCAGACGCCTACTCAGGCTGACTAATGTTAGGCTGTCTATATATATACACAACATAATTATAATTTTATTAAGGGGTTCAAAACATGGCGCTTTTATGGTGGAAAAATCGAGGAATTCCTTCTTAGGAGGCGGTAAGCGCCCCAGTCGGAGACACGTTGCAGCACAATAGTTGTAATGAGCATGGCTTCACTTGTGTGCAGAAGATGGTGGCGACATCGTATTTGTTGAGACGACTGGTCCAAGGAAGAGCCAGCCACGGAACATCTTCTTTCTGGAGACGAGCGGACGAGGCAACCTGACCGGGAGGATGTCCTGCGCGGTCGAGTCCGCGGCGTTGCACCACACGGAGTGGACAGTCAGCCTTCTGACCGCAGAAAACTCGGAGAAGCCGGAAAGCCGAAGCCCCTTTTTCGACCTGCTCAGAAGAATACCCAACGTGAACATCCGTAGCATCAAGGTGAGTGTTGTTAAAATCAAATGATTTGTGTTTCGAATTTTCGTGTCGTTAATACCGTACATAACATCGAACAAAAGAACCAATGGGTGCTCACAGGCTAGCCTTCGGACGGCGTGTACTTGACATATTGCCACGGGATACAAGATACCAGAGGACAGACATGCTCGTACACGGTGTTCCAATGCGAAACAGTGTGCGAGGAGCAGACGCCACTCTTATGCGCTCTGATCGGAGGGTGACGATGGGTAGAGCCAAAGGCAGCTAACTCTGCGTCTAACCACTATCTGTCTAATCAGGGCTGTGTGCTCTGACGTCACTGCACGCTGTCATCCTTTTCTCTCCCTCATTTCCTCACCCTAATTGTACGCTCAGGTTATTCTGGTTGTGAGGCACATAAGCAAATAAGACGTTCAGTATGCGAAAATGGAAATACAGGCGGCGCCAATATGAGCTGACCCAGTCTGGTGCTAGCCAAAAGGGGTAAAATGCCGCATAGAGTGGACGTGTCGCGGCCCACCGCTGTCTTGCTTCACATTTCCCGAAGGATCCGACACAGAAATATAGCGTCTCGGTCACGCGTGTCCATGCCATGCAAACAGGCAAGGCCGACATTCCATTATGTACAGACAAAACATTTTGGATCACTGACGCTTTGTGTAAAAAATAGAGAGCGTAAAAGATGCCATGCTTTTCCCATGTGGTTTATATGGGCGGTCATAAATACACACTGAACTCTTTATTGGTCATTTTTCTATAGTGTCATGGGAAAGTCAACGTTAGCATAACCAAGTAGTCTTTGAATTCTTGTGCTGTCTTAGATACATTTGTGTACTGAACCTGCCTCAGTGCTAACGCTGATTTATGTTCAGCCGTACACGTGTAAGCTACGCTAACGCTCAAAATACGTGAAACCTGTTGCAAAATTTACAATAAACGCTATGCACGTAATTATTAATATAAGAATTGTGTAAGTGTCGAAAATCATCGGATGAAATTGTAGAGAGTCACGATAGAAACGCGGTGAAAAGCGGCGAAAACACGGACGCAACTCATTTGCCAAGGCACGACGGGCGAGGGAAGAGAAGCGCTCAACGCAACTAATGGCGCCCGCGTCACGCGATTCCAAGATGGAGGCATCCATGCGACGGCAGGTGAAAGAGTCTGAGACCCTAATTTCCGAGTTGATGAATTTTGGTTTTTGCTTCCAGTTAATTATATCAGAATGTATCAATTCTATTAAACTGGCTTTGTAACAAGGTATTCCGCATTTTCGTTTTTTTTTTCTTTTTCTACCAATCGCCTTTTTCTTGCTCATGTAAGGCCTCCTTATAGACCTTTTTCACGTGTGCGCGGCACCTAGTTACTGCTGCAGCAATTATCCGAGCTCGCCATTGTTTGGGCACATACTATGAGCATGTATTGGACAAGAGCGCAACGTCAGAGTTCGGCCTGAGCTCGACTGAGCTTGTAACGGAAACGTGTGCTGCTTCAGGTCTCAACAAAAGCTTGGTTCCTACCAAGTGTCGCGGTATGGGCACCCTCCTTCCATTTGAACTCCATTCCGAGAGAGTTTCTGACAATTTCATTCCTTTTAGCTCGTGCACTCTTAGAAACAAAAGGTTCGTAGTATACTTACTAACTAAAAGTTTAGTAACTGCATGTCACAACATTCACTAGGCTCTTAGCAAGTGCTGTTAGTATCGGCCAAGGTAATAACGTTACTAGGTCAAGAAGCTAGTCACGGTTACTAACTTCATTAATAGAACCTAGTATCTGTCTCTACCTTCAACTAGTAGTGGGCACTTACTTTCACAAAAACTAATAACCGCAACTACCTGTAAGCAGCACATGTTTTTACCTTCAGAAAGGAAAGTACCTTCCTCCTGGCAAAAGAGGTAAAACTCTTCCATTTTTGCTGATGCACACCGTGATAACGGCGGTGTTAACGATGGTCGGTACCAAAAGTTGCTCTCAAAATCTCAAACACAGGTGGCGCTAGTCAGCATAAAATTCAAAATTGGAAAAAAAAGAACGACTATTGCTTATACCGGGTGATTCTTTTTTTTTTTTTTTAATCCGAACAGCTTTATTACTGAAAATCCGTAAAAGACTCCCTTATGCGGTTTCTGCAGGTGAGTGATACAGCCATGGGAATATTATCTGGGTGGCTAATCCGTGCATTTAGTCGGCTACTTAATTGAAATCCCTTAATTAACGTTTTAATTTGTGAAAATACACATAATGTTTTAATTAGAAACTTGGAGAGCGTCATTGAAAACCACTAAATCAACTCTCTGTAGAACGACTTGGAGCTCGTAGGAAACTCGGGGGCGGGCCAGTTACATCGCGTTTCGCAACTGCTAGCTTTGCGCCTGCTTCACGAGCGGTAACTTTGGCGTGCCCCCGAGTTTCCCACGACCTTCATGTCGTTCTAAAAAGAGCTGATTTAGTGGTTTCCAATCACGCTCTCTAAGTTTCTAATTAAAACCATATCCTTATTTTCACTCATTAAAAAGTTAATTTACGGATTTTAATTAGTTAGCCAACCTACCGCAAAGATTAACAACCCACATAATGCCCCCTGGTCGTATAACTCACCTGCACAAACCCGATAAGTGAATCTTTTACAAATATTTTGTATAAAATCCGTTCGAATTAAAAAAAAAAATCACCGGGTATATTTCATTTTTACGCTGCTTAAATGCACATTGGCACGCGTATTATACATTTAATACAGGCAAGGAATTAAAAGGCACACGCACAACACTCACGCGACGGCACGCTAACCCAATCACTGCCGCTAACGGCTACCCAAGTGACTTTTCTACTGATCCTTTGAAATAAGTCGGTTGGTCCTCGTCTGTGAATGATGTTACAAATTTGATGTTGCTTTCACACAAATATTTTTCTACAAGATCGTTGCAAAACATTCCAAGTAATGTATATCTTACTAAAACGTATCAGTACACACAGTAAATATTTGTGACAGTTTATAAAACTGAGCGTTCTCGCAGGTTCCCAGAAGCCATGATCTCGCTTCTCCTTATTGCAGCTGCAGTTGCTACCTGTGGCTTGTTTGAGATAGTAAATAGCTAGCCAACAGTAATAATTGTCAGAAAAAGGTAGAAACTGCTGCAGTTACAAATTATTTACTACCTATCGCACGTATCATGTTGCAAATAGCTACAGATAGAAGGTACCAACGGCCAAAAGTGCTAACAGCTGCAGTTACTAACATTTTACTAGTTCTTTTTTTTTAAGAGTGCAGGAACGGAGACAATGGGTCCATTCCCACTCCTGGAATGGTTGAATTCAACCATTCCATTCATCCAGGGATGGGCAAAATACATGCAAATATGTATCGAAATACAAATACAAAATACTTCGTCAAAAATGTATTTAATTAGAAATCTAATTACATTTCCAAAAAAGCATTTAAATACAAGATACAAATACAACCAAATGTATTTGGTCTCCTCCAAATACTTTTCCAAATACATTCCTCAAAATTTGCGTCAGAGACTTCAGGGTACCGGCAACGGTTTTCTGGGTATCTCATTTTAATTTTGCATCGCACACTCGGGAGTTAGTGTGGGAGGCTCTAGTAACGTAATAGCAATATAATCACAAAAAAAAAATGTAATCAGCTTGGACGTAATAGGTGAAAAAAGTACAGAGCTTCAAGCAGCTTTTTTGTCAATTACATTTTGGTATAGACCAACAAAGAACCGAGACGACCAAGACGCGCAGCGCTAGCTAGAGAATATTTTATTGTTGCAACTCGCACCAGTTACGAAAATCTGGACAAGCCGCGCATTTAGATTGTTCCAGGCAAAAATATGGATGGAAATCAAGCTGTAAAGCATCACAAGTTGTCACAGGCACTTAATTATTTAGGCAGTCTGTCTGTGAACGTCGATTTCGTCACTATTTTTGCTTTGGACTAGCACCGTAATCACAGTTACTAAACGCTTGTGCTTGATTGAGAGACACTGCATTCAGTGCAGAACGTAGTTTTCTTCCTGCTCTGGACAGTGACAATAAATTTGAGGGATGTATTTTTGCCCACAAAATTGTATTTAATTACAATTGTATTTGAAATACCCACATTTTAGTATTTAAATACACAAGTCAAATACATTACCTAATTTGTAATTAAATACAAATGCAAAATACACAAAGTATTTGAAATACGTATTTTAAATACTTGTATTTGAAATACTGCCCATCCCTGCATTCATCTAATAATATTTAAACGTGAAACGATGGTTCTTGATAGCTACGTTGTGTTGCAAGAAAACAATATAAACGTGAAAAGAACTAAAAGTGTCAAACGCAGAGGCAACCGCAAAAGTATGACAAATGCTTCCCCGAAGCACTCATTCTCCTAAGCAGAAGCGGTGGTTCCAAAAAGCGCTTCGTGGCACTTGGTGTTACTACAGACATCGATCGCGCGATCAAACGTTAAAAGCTCGCAATACGCCAGAAATTAACACCACCCATTATCCTCGCAAACAAACCGCACACTTTCCAAAGATACATGGTCAGGATGTTGCTTGTTTGACAAGGCCTTAAAATGTCTAGTTTGCGTCTGATGCACGCAGAAGCCATCTTGGTTTCTGCTTCGAATACCTGCACAAGAGCACCGCCAGTATACGGTGTAAGAAGCGATGCTGCGTACACGCGTATACCTGCCCAAAATCTCTATGCACAGCCACAAGCCCACAAAACCGACGATAAAGTGCAATTGTTACGGTGATCCGAGGGACCGTTATTACGGAACCTGCCTTAAAAGGCGTACCTTTATGTTTGGTGTACGATTCCTGCGATTTCTTATCATGTTTGGTTCACATCTTTATTTGTTTTCTGCGCATATACTACAAGATCTGCTCGGTTAAAGGCTACATGCTGGTTGCGCATGGTTACAACCGCCGCTTTGTAGCCTCTCGCGGTACCAGAAAGGACATTTTGTTCATCTAATTTGGTCTCAATAACGCGGCCCGCGGGCCGCATGTGGTCCGCGACTCGCTGGGATGCGGCCCGCAGGCAACCGGCTACTAGTCCCGGTCCCAAGTCTCGAGCACTAGAAATGACATGCACCCTCGTGATCTCATCTCGCCGATTCATTTTCGCTGGAAAGGTCGCTTCGCTCTTTTAACGTATTCGCGTAGCTTTTACTTATCTGTGTTCATTTTCCCTTTTTTCGCTTTATATTTTGCTTCCCAGCTTTTTGTAATGTACAACAATTCCGCTACTAGGCTGCAAGCGCGAGCTCTTCTTTGAAGGCTGCATCTCGGCTGCGCGAACTCTCAATCAGCAGGATCAACTGCCGAAGATATATCTACGAACTCGGGATTCTCGCCTTAAAAAAAAAAAGTGATTAAAAGGAAAGTATAGGTGTTGTAATAGAAATGGTCAGAAAAGCAAGAATTGTCAAACAACAGATTGTTTTTTAGATACATGTCGAGCCTGGTTAATTCCTGAGTGAATTGAGCAACGAAACCGACGGTGTACTTGCTGTCTTGTTCTATTAAAAATGCGAGCACTTTGGCGTGCGGTGTCATTTTAAAATTTGTTATCGCATCAGGTCAGCGCCCAAAGTAGTCATACAAACAAATCAAATCTAAATATGGCACTGGTAAAACTGAGTGTAAGAAAAGGTGTAGAGTACGAGATCTCTTCTCTTTTACGTCTTTTGACCCCCCCCTCCGGTCTAACGTTGGCCCTCGTCCTTCCCACTGTCGGTTATCTGGCCACCACGTTCAAATGAGTTTGAGACAATGAAACTTTAATTGGGGCTAGTTGGTTCATATCGATTAAAAGGTTAAAAGGCGCGAACAAAGAGGACGAAAAAAAACACGTACGACACGGACAGGCGCCAACTTCCAACTGATTTATTGAAACACGAATCATCGTCAAACTCAATCCCAAACGCCTAAACACATGCAACTGATAAAAATTCCTATCGGTCATTGCACACATCCTTCAAGAAACACAATTTCTTTGGTTAACAGATAAAGAGATGGCATGCTTACGCATCTGTCAGCCACTTTGTGTATACAAAAAGCTTCGATTTGTTCTCTTTCCATTTTTTCATTTTCTTTCTCAATAAACCTTGTGCGCTCAAACAAAGGTTCACACCCACATCGTTTGCAGTGTTCCGCAAGATGCCCACCGGAATTATTGCGCACCGCAAGTTTATGTTCGCGCGTTCTTTCATTAAAGCATCGGCCGGTCTGACCGATGTAAACTTTGCCGCAACTAAAAGGAATCTCATACACCACCTTAGTCACGCATTCGGTGTATCTTGTTACATGTTTCTTTGAGCACACTACATACTTTCGTTTTGTCATCGCGGAGCATATCTTTGAAAGTTTGCACGGGGCTGTGAAGACGACGTTAACCCTGTGTCTAACAGCCATCTTTTTTAAATTGTGGGACACTTTGGTGCAAATATGATATCACCTGCACTGGCATCTTGTCTGTCTTTTCACAACTTTTGTCAACTCCCTCTCGTTTAATTTTCTGTTACAGCCTTTCACACACACTTGTCAATAAGCTCTTCGGGTAACCGGCCCTCGCCAAGCGTGCAACCTGTTGATCAAAGCTGACCGGCAGTCTATGCTGACAGCTTTGCCGTGGCAGAAATTGTTAATCTGTTTAAATCACAGTCCGGCAGACTGAACGTCACTTGGGAAATGCCTAGGCAGTATTCAGTTTCTTGATTTACAGCTCTTTTTTACTAAGGATCATTTGTGCTGGAGTTATAATCCTCGAACTAAGAAAGGTCTCCTTTTTTTTAGCAGTGCCCACTCAAAGCTCGTAAAACAGGGGATTGCATCCACCTGCCTTCACACAGCCATTACAAAAAGCAGCCAGCATAGACTGCCGGTCAGCTTTGATCAGCAGGTTGCACGCTTGATGAGGGCCGGTTACACGAAGAGCTTAGTGACAAGTGTGTGTGAAAGGCTCTTACAGAAAATTAAACGAGAAGGTGTTGACAAAAGTCGTGAAAAGACGGAAACGATGCCAGTGCAGGTGATATATTTGCACCAAAGTGTCCCACAATATAAAAAAGATGGCAGTTAGACACAGGGTTAACGTCGTCTTCTCAGCCTTGTGCAAACTTTCAAAGATAGGCTCCGCGATGACAAAACGAAAGTATGTAGTGTGCTCAAAGAAACACGTAACAAGATACACCGAATGCGTGACTAAGGTGGTTTATAAGAGTCCTTTTAGTTGCGGCCAAGTTTACATCGGTGAGAGCGACCAATGCTTTAATGAAAAAGCGCGCGAACATAAGCTTGCTGTACGCAATAATTTGGGTGGGCATCTTGCGGAGCACTGCAAACGATGTGGGTGCGAACCTTTGTTTGAGCGCACAAGGTTTATCAAGAAAGGAAATTAAAAAAATGAAAAGAGAACTAATCGAAGCTTTCTGCATACACAAAGCGGCTGACCGATGCGTAAGCATGCCATCTCTTTATCTGTTAACCAAAGAAATTGGGTTTCTTGAAGGATGTGTGTAATGACCGATAGGAATTTTTATCAGTTGCATGTGTTTAGGCGTTTGGGATCGAGATTGACGATGATTCGTGTTTCAATAAATCAGTTGGAAGTCGGCGCCTGTCCGTGTCGTACGTGTCTTTTTTTTCGTCCTGTTTGTTCGCGCCTTTTAACCTTTTAATCGAATTTGAGACCACTGATCTAAAACGTTTCTGTTTTAATTGCTTCACTGGGGGTGCGCCACTTTCATCCTCGAAGAAGCATGTGCCGGTGAGACAATCAAGCCGTCAGTCGCCTTCAATGCAATGGTGCTGTTTCAAAAGCCACTTTGTCCTACTGTTAGGGTTGCGGCAGCAGCTCGCCTAGCTGAAGATCAACACAGCTCGCATAAGAACCGAGCCACTCCCTTTCTATTCCATTCCGGGCAAAGAGGCATCTCATTCCATTCCCATTCCATTCCGGGGTTTCCAAAGTGCGGAATGATTTTCGAATGATTCCAACTCGAGAGTGGAAGCTCTGTAACGCCTATCCAATCATACACTTTCTGCCCAAAAAAGGACAGCCGCCATTGCTGCCCGATAAGGTTCAGGAAAGGGCCCGAAACATCTAAATGCTACGGTTTGAACACCAAGCGAATGCTTCATTTCTGACCATCTCGTTTTCGTTTCAGCCCGCTGAACTGTTAGAAGGGACACCGCTCAGTTCTTGGAATTTCTCTGGCGCCATGCGTTCGAGTCCTCACCGTGCGGTTCATCTGGCCGATGTTCTGCGACTGGCGGTGGTATACAAGTACGGGGGCGTCTATCTGGACCTGGACATAGTAATGTTGCGGTCACTGGAAGACCTCCACAACTGTGTCTCCCAAACGCCGACGGTGAGCAGAGACCAGTTTCGACTTTCCTATTATAGAAAGACTTAGTAGATCGTTCTGACGACTCCGATAACGATACCCGATACTCCGCCAACGCCTTTGCACATGTGTCGTATCGTTATCCGAGTTACCTCAACGATATACTAAAGCTATAATATTGAACCGCTTATCGATGGAGTACGGGTTCTTTCGTTGCTCGGTCACCTTGCGCCGTCCGGACTGCCAGGTCCGGATGGGGTGACGGGCTTCGTTGTGGGAAGCTGGGCGGGTCTTGCCGGAGACGAAGTTGCTTCCCTTGGCCGTCGACGACTAATTCAGTTGAATTTGGGGATTACTTTTCAATAAACAATTTAATACTTTGGTAGGGAATGAAAACACAAAGATAAACAATACTGCGAAATGATAACTTCCCCTGTACGGGGTTGGGAAGGAGGTGGTCGGGTGTTAGCTTATCCAAGCTCGGGAGTTGGCTGGCTCGTGGGATTACGTCCCGATTACGGGGACAGAAGTCCCTCGGAATCCCACGACCTGACTCGATTACGGAGCGACAGCTCTCGAGCCCCAGCACGAACTAAACTCACTCGCTGAGTTTCTAATCCAAGTTACTCGTTGGTCCGTCCCCTTTTAGTGGACCGGCGAATCCTCGACGCGTTGTGAGACAGGCGTTTCCCACCGCCAACCAATCGGCTCACTTTCTCGCCACGTGGGAATTGCTTGTATTCCCGGGTGGGAACCCGCGGTCTGCGTACATCTCACGGTCAAAGGTCGGGCTGGTTCGGATGCAAGCAAAACCGTCTCTCGCATGGCGAAGTGGACAACCGACCCCAGTGTGGATAGCGCCGACTAAGTGAGCCATCCCGCAATTCATTCTGCCAGAGGCGGTCTGACGTTGCCGTTCTGCCGCGACCCCCCGCACTCGGGCGAGAAAGACTAAACCGATGTAAACGCGCCGTGTAAACAGCGCCGGCCAGAGCCACTGCGCTCTGGTGGCGGTGGTGGTGTAACTTTACTTTTTCCGGCCCTGAACGCACGCTCCGATTCTCTCGGCAGAAAACTCGCGCCCCGAACCCCGCGTCGTAAAGTACGCCTGTCTCTCGAGGTCGCCCGCCAAGGGAAGTGTTTACAACAGCGCTTTCCCCCCAGTCAAATCTCCCTGGTGCTAACGGCCCACCCGCGGAGCTCTCGTCGATCCTTACAGATGGCTAACGCAAATTATGGGGAATAGCGTTGGTGTCGTATTTACTTGACTATAGTCGGTACCCGGTGTACCATCCGCTGGAGCTAATTTCGGTAGAAAAAAAGTTTTCCTTAAGATAATCGTCATGCACGTGGTATAAAACCCGCACCTGGTGCCAAATTCATGTTTAAAAGTTATTATACTAAGCGCTCCTTAAAAAAATGCCTGCATTATTATCTCGGAAAGACGTTTCAATTGTATACATACGAGGTGCAATCAAAATTATCCGAGGCTGATTTTGTAGCGTAAAAAGAAAGGGCAGCACAGTGATGCCCGCAGCAGTCGAAGGAAGGAACCTTCGTATTACGTGATGCCAGAGGACGTTGCTCTGTGAACATTTGGAACTGCGCTTCGCGAGTTTTAATACGAAAGCAATAACTGTCCCATGTAGCGAACCGGCGTTATCAGCTTTTGAAGCCGCGCCAAACGGCACCTAAATTTCCCTGTCCCAATTAGGCGAAGCCTGTAGTCTGTAGCAGCGATTTGATGGATAGGCTCCTATAGGGAGTATTCGCTAGACGACATATTTGTGGGTGCTGTTTAGAGCGCATGCTCAGAACGAGCTCACATCAATAGGCTGCCCAGACCGGCACTCTTGATGGTGCTGAATGCACGTTGCAAAAGAACCGTGGAAGTTCACCATCAGCACGCGCTCAGCATTCCTGTAAACAACTATGGCCGCCAGTGAATACTCCCTATTGGATAACGCGCGTTATAGTTTTAATGAACGCCACCCCATGGTGCTGCTGACCCCGCGCCGGAAAAAGGAACACACTGGCGCTACTCAGCCGCTTCTGCTGCTTTCGACTCCGGCGAACATGGCGGCGCCTCAAGCATCTACATCGTCGGCGTCTTCAACCTCGGCAGCAGCGAAACCTGTCCGTTCACGCTGGTTCACCGCAGACGAACTAAGGGAGTGGAATAACGCAGCACAACAAGGGAGAAGGCAGGCAGCGAAATCCGCCATCGTTGTAAAGTCTCCGAATTCACGGCGGGCGGAACGAGCAGCGGCGCAACGCTCTAGAAGACAGAACAAAGCCTTTCAAAAGCGTGAGGCGCAAGCGGATCGCGATTTAAAGCGTCTCAGGAGGCAAGAGGACGAGGCCCTTCGACAACGCGAGGCGCAAGCAATACGTCGCAGGCGGCATGCTTTCGCATTCACAACTCATAAAAGAGCTTAGGTGTCCTCGGACTCTTCGCGATCACGTGCACGGGCACAATGGCGAGTTCATCATACACTGCGAACCAGAGCAAAAGGTAACATCAATTTTCCATCAAGCTCGGCAAATATAAAACATAACTTTCAAATTAGTCGGAAGACTGGTGACAAAAAATCGGTGAATTTTGCGAGGTGCTTTAAGTGGCACTTGCTCTTCAGGAACGGCAGAACATCGCTGAACGACGAAGAGCGGTGCGGCGACTTTATCGGACCTCCTTTACTTCAGTGACGTTCTGCCATTGAAGCGCGAGTGGCACTCAGAACACCTCGCACACCTCACCGCTTTTTGATATGAGCCTTCTAAATAATTTCAGCGTTTTTTTTTTAGACTTGCCTAGTTTGACGTAAAATTGATGTTCGCTCTCGCTTTGGTTTGCCGTCTATGGGGAGATCGCCATTATGTTTGTGCACCTTGTCGAACAAGCTCGTGTAGCGCAGTTCCAAATGTTCTCAAAGCGACCACTTTTGGTCTAATGACTCAGTAAGGTCCCTGCCTTCGACTGCTGCGTGCGCATCACTGTGTTGCTTTCTCGTTTTGCGCCACAAAATCAGTTTCAGAACTCGTAGCTATCATTAACATAATATGCAATTCATAATATCCGTCACGCTTTGTCCCAACCGAAGAATTTAGAAAAACAAAACCTCGTTTAGTATGGAGGTATCGAGAGTTCATACAACGTAAAATATCAACTTTTAAACATGTATATTACTCCGATTATAGTCCGAAAATAGGTAGTTGCATAGCTTAGAACTATATATGTAGGTACGCCTCCGCTCAACAAAACTCACCTAACGGTCTCTGAAAACTAAAATATATTCGAACGCATTTTATCATCTATTAACTATGCTCACATTTTGTCAGCCGAAATTGGCAAAAAAAAGCGCTTCAACCCTTGTTTCTATGTTTTTTTATTTTTTATTTTACCAATGTTACTTTCTTGCTCAACCACCAATGCGGTGGTTGGTATTCAACACAAAGAACGGCTGAAGATAATCAGATGTCCACACAATAACTCAAGGGCAACTTTCGGCGATGTCCCTCGCTTTAAAAAAAGAAAAGAAAAGATGCTCGCTTTAAAAAGAAAACGTGAAGGAAGCCAGCAGGCTAAGTAAGTTCCCTCAGACCAAGGTAATAAGAAAATGCACACTTAAAAGGAAAAAAAATGTGAGTCTAGTCGGGGTTGACAAAATAGTAAATCCGGTATCGTACTCAGCTTCACAAGATTGCTTGGAAATTCAAGTGCCTTTTGTGAGCTAAAACCCGCCGATATCTATAGGTAATTCCAAATAAAATTTCGCCCTCAGCGCGAATGTGTATGGTTTAATATCTGGTTCACACATTTGCGCTTAAGCGTTAATGGACGCTTTTGAAACCACACTTGCGACCGCTTACGACCAGAGAACACAAGGGCAGAGTGACGTGATGTGCCGGGCAATCATAAAACCCCACTGATCTGCAGTAGACTGAATGTTTTGTCAGTATTGGCGAGTTTAATTTTACGAAACTATCTATTAAAATGATCGCTTAAATTATTATCAAACACATTTCGCGCCCGTGATGAAAAAACAAGAATAATCTGCAAAAAATTAGGTAATATAAGAACCGAAAGTACTTATCCGAGCTGGTTAAGAAACATAATCTGAACCCAGAGAAGAGGAGTTGACATGATTGTTAAGAAATATATGTATGCAGACTTGAAGTGTTCCTTGGTGCATCCGATAGACGGCACCAGTGTGTTATCACGCCGCAAGCGATCACAATCAATTGCAACGTACTCGGTGACACTCAAACGCGGATCGTACATAAATACTGTGGAGCGCAAGATCGTCTGCTTCCTTTGCAGGAGTTGTGGTGACGTCAGAACGACGCCGAGCTCTGATTGAATCTGGTGGAAGGACAGTTGGTAGAGCTCAAGGCAGCTTGTTATGTCGTCTAACCACTATCTTTCAGTCAGCCTCTCAGAGCTTGACGTCGTTCTGACGCCACCACAACCCGTGCAAAGGAAGCAGAGGATCTTACGCTCCACATACAAAGGCACAGTGTCCGTCGCAGACACGATCATAGAATTATCCGAGGACGCGCCTGGAATATGTTCCTTGCATGTTCCCTGCGTATATTCGTCGAACATGTCTCAAGAAAGATTTTGTATAATCCATATGTGACAAGACTGTCCTACAAGAAAACAAAACATTCTCAGACAGTGTCTGTAGACTATCTCTGGTATGGTGTACTAACAGTGTGACCGAGGATTTAGTGTGTATACTCTCAGAAGTAACTGTACTTTTTTTTTTCAGCAAGAACAAGACATGACTGCCAACGGATTCCTAATTTTCGACCGCCATCACCCTTTCTTGGAGGACTGCATGCACCGGGTGCCTCCAAGGTACAAGCCAAAGCAATGGGCGTCCATTGGTCCGACTCTGCTCAAGGAGGCCATCTTGTCTCGATGCAAGGCGAAGAGCATTCGAGAAGTCGTCCTCAACGGTTCCTGCCATGGAGTGCGAGTACTTCCTTTTAGCCTCTTCCTTCCGATCTACTACAGGGAGTGGAAGGACTTCTTTGATCCTAGCAAGAGTGCCTATGTTTGGCGCGCATCAAAAGGCAGTTACGTCATGCATGTTTACAACGCCCTGAGCTCTAAGACACCGGCGCCCCCGGGTTGCGCTTACGCGCAAGCGGCCCGGAAGTATTGCCCACTCAGCTGGAATCATTCCTTCTCGACACTAGGGTTTTTCTAGATGTAATACCTTAATCTCTCTTAACGGGAGCTGGGAGTGCATGGAGTTGCGTACTATATGAGCTATCTAGCGTCTCGGTGCGCATGTGCAAATAGAGGGAGGCGGATGCGCGGCAGTTGCACGGCGGGCCGTCCGATTGCTATTAATACTCGCACGTCAATGCTGTTGTGTATTCACCAATGAGGATGCTCGGCATTGTGCCTAGAATGACGCGAGAGCTTGAAACACTCTCTTTTGCGCTTGCGTTAAAAGATTGCTTTGTCTGTTCAAAACTGGAATTTGAATCTAAAACCTGAAATTTTCTTAATTCTTTGAAATCCAAGCGCATTGAAAGTGTCCAAAAACGCTTAATTTGTTTAATTTATGAGCGATACGTCGGAAACAAACTTGATGATTACTACAACTGGCGGCGATGCCAACTGGATATGGGCACACTTTCGCAAAATAAGAGACCTTGAATTCTTATTTTGGCACAAACTTTTAAATGGCAAAGTGCCATGTTCAAATGTAATACCCACCGTCAAGGAGACTCTTTTATAATAGTAGCAGCTCATCTTCATTTTAGATGTTTATGCCTTTAAGTGATGTCAAGCGCTTCGTGTTGCCAGAAGTGTCTGAGGAATGCAGGTTTCTTTTTTAAAACTTTGTTGGGTGTTTCTGCGTGTATAGTGTTAGACCGTTGGGTGTGAGTGATTTTGTTTACTTTTTTGGGCCGCACCACCGGGAAGACATGCTGCAGAGGTGGGAATCAATAAATATACAAAGAAAGTACCCGACGCCATGCGCTCCCGTGTTCCCGAACCCACAGCATTATTGAGCTCTCAAACAACCATTACTGTAAATAAGTAGTTAAGATTTATTTATCATAAACTTCGGAAGTATAAAACGTGTAGCTGCTGCCTCCATCAAATAGGTGTGGTCACAGGAGTACGCAATATTGTACAATTGTGAAATCCTTCACACTGTGATATTTTTGTATTGAAATGTGGCGTTCATAATGATCGTCTGGTTGTGTGCTTTAATTTTGTATAAAGAATAAAACTTTTATTTGTTTTTTCCTTTGTTACCGCAGTTTTCAACATGCTTCATATATTGTGAAGTTCGTTGCATGTATCCCCTATGCGTTCAAGATACCATTCATAGAAAATTCGGTTAAAGGGGTCATAAAAATAAGAAACAATTAGCCACACACATGCTGAAAGTGGATGGATTGGGAGTGTCCAAATAACATCCCCTGACCGACCATGAGCCATGCATAATTTTGTGGCGGTGGTATTGAGTGAAAAACTGTCAAGCCCAGTCAGCTAATTTGTCTGAGCATCATGGGAGTTATTAAGTCTTGGTGCCTAGAAACGCGGGACATGTTACGTTTCGGTTCAGGGGACAATGGAGAGTAGATTGTGCTGCTTTTGCCCAAACCTCAGATCAAACAAGTAAAGCAATAATGGGACTCCTAACTACTGTACCGTGTTTTATAGATACCGATAAACATGGAACATTAACTCCCTAGCCGACTTGCATGATACAGACTACAAGTGATAAAATTACTTGTAATTGATTATTTTTGCGTAATTTATTATTCAATTGAACACATTTATTGGGAAGTAATCACACTAGTTATTCGCTTACTTATGGGGGAACAAAATATTTTGCTACCTTTACTTTTTTTTCCCTATCAATGGCTCCTAGTGTTTGTGTAAGTTACAAACCAAGGAATCCTCGAACCAACTCTCCGAGAAGAGCATGGTTTGCCAAATTTTATGAATTAAGATAAGTAGATTAGAATTTGGTGATTTTAATCCGAGAATGAGAGCAAGAAGGACTCCTTTTCAAATCGGCAAGAATGTCTCAAGATGATTGGTACAAAAGTAGGCTATACTCTAAATGTATAAACACTAGGAACTTGGACGATTTAAAAAAAGGTCTGAGACACGTCAAAACAGACTGAGTAAAACTCTGATGCAATTAAAAAAACTAATTACATAATTTATTCAATGAGAAAACAATGTCAAAGGCAGACCAGACATGGAAAATGATTAACCTAGTCCTAAATCGATCGTCTTCAAACAGTAATATTGAAGAAGTCAAAATTGGAAATACGACGCTTCGCGGGAAGGACCTCGCAAAGTAATCTAAAAACTATTTGCTAACATTAACCACAGCGGGCATGACTCAGAGTGTACAAGTCACCTCTGAACTCGTGACGAAAACAATGACTTTAATCCGACTGACGAGTACGGTGTTTTTCCTGCATTTAATTCAGTACAAATAGCAAATGTGTGACATTAATGATATTCAAATTGTTGAGAGTTTTTTTTTTTCCTGCGGTTCATAACTTATTACAGGAAATTCTTGTCACACATAGTGACTGTGCTGATAACTGACGTCAATCACGCTCCACAGGTCTTCCGTTCACGAACGAACTGCTTTAACTTCTATTTTACGCTTCTGACACCCGGGGTGATCATTTAATCGGTGCGCTGAAGGAGATTCCGGCTGCCTGAAAGATGAGGATTCTCAATTATGGAACTTTTAGCAAACCGTTTACCGTGTTCCGCGGACTGCACTACCGGAGCCTTTAAAGCATGCTTTTAAGCGCGCGCTCGCTTGATACCGTAACTGCGGGGCGCGCGCTAAAGGAGCATGCTTCAAAGCGTCCAGTATACTTCCTTCACCCTTAAGCTGAGACTAGACACTTCGCCTTCAGCGCGAGTTTCTGCCCTTGCTAACACAGGTGTGAACGCGCAGGCACGCGCAACCAAAGCACTTCGGTAGCCAGCGAGCTTGCGCTGAAGGCAGAGCTTCTAGTCTCAGTTTAAACGAAGGATAGTGTGGTACACGCAACACGGTAAATGCTTGCCAAAATTCCCCATGATAAAGTTAATGTACTTTGTTAAAATGTCTGGTGAATGCAGAAGCTGGTGGACATACATTTTTTAATCCCAGCGCCACATACGAGACACAAGAACTAGAGCGAACACAGGGCGAGCGCTGGAAGCTGATATGTAGACCCTTTCGCTGTTTACACACATGAGCCGCTGTTTGCGTCCTGATCGACTTTCGGTAGATCCGTTTTTGCAAGTCTGTCGGGGTTGCTTAGGTCCGGAGTTCTAGGAAGCATAAATTGTATACGGGCAACAAAGTTGAAGATTTAGGGTGGGCTTCGGCTGTACGGTTTACCGTCTTTGAGGGGACTAGTTGGTCCACAAAAATATTCGAGAAATTTGAACAGAACCCGCTCTTCTTTGGTTCCTTTGGCGTTCACCTGGAAAATCGGAGGTTAAATGTTTAATCGGCGTTTCATGCAGCGGTGTTAAGGTGGGCTTTTTTTTCTTATTTTAATAAACCGAAAGTTGGCTGGGACGTCAAGGACTCGAACACTGCTTGGTGGCGTTCGCGAAGATAACGATATATAAAAATCTGCCGAGTTATTGACTTCACTTAGATGTGAGCAGCCGTCTTGGTTCCCCTCTTGTTCCTCTTTCTCGAATGTCGCACAGTTTCCGCTATACTGTTCGAAAAAAGAAAAGAAAAGAAAAATCACAGCGCGTATTAGAAAAAAATAAAAGAAAGAAAGAAATGGCGCAAGTTAAGAGGAAGCATGACGCTACGGTCATGCTACACGGTCGCACGCGGAAGCAGCTTGCTCCTGCTGCGAGCGGCGAGCTTCCTCGCGTGGCTCGTGCCGAGCCAACGAAATTGGCCGTGATGAAACTTTTAGCGCACCACCGACGCAGGGTCGAAGTTTGGTTTGTGCTGTTCGAAGGTCAAACACATCGGAGTAGGACGTACACTCTCGAAGCGCCCCACTCTCCAACCCGTATTTTTGGAAGTTTCCAGAGGCGTCTAGGAGGCGCAGCTAGCGCAGCTCGACATAAAAATTGAGCAGCCCCGTGTCAGTCCACAGTACAATAACAGCGATAGCAGCGACATGTCAAGGCAAAATCGGGTAGTTTGATTTTTAATCGAACACATTTTTATAAAAAGAGGGTATGGCGGTTACATGAACGCCGTCTCTCCTTGTGTGTTTTGGGGTTCGGAGGACATTAAATTGGAGAATTGTCGCGCGCATTTAATAATTAATTGACATTTTATATTTCATGTAGCCTTCAATTTGAATCAACGTCAATTTTGTATTTTTAGCACGATTAACCAAATCAATATCAAAAAGTAATTAATGGCATTTAGTTAATGAATCTATACTGTGACTTTTTTTGGAGGCACTAGGTTAAAGGGTAACTGCAAAGAAAAAAAAAATTAAACAGCATAATTGGGACTAGCATGTAAAAAAACTTTTTTCCGCGAGAAGAAACATTTTGTTTACAGCAATATTTATTGCTTGAGACTGATTTTAGTTTGCGGCTATTTCGTCCGTTTTAAATCACGCGCCACGAAGTTGGGATTCCGTGACGTTGAATCCCAATCGGCAGCTATACTTCTCATTGGCTAAGAGTTTGATTGACAGCTTAGATCTTTGTTGTTAAACCTTTGTTATACGTTGCAATTTCCCTTTGAGCGGCATATTTTTACGTTTAAAGAATAACCCATGTGATGAGAGTTATTATTCTTTACAAAAGGTTTACAAGACGGGCACTTCCGTTTGGATTCATACCATAACGAGCAAAAAACTCCGCCATTCTTTCATGGCCGGGGAAGGCTCTGCTACTGCCTGTCTCGCCTACCTCGACTAATCGTTTCGCCAAAGTGATCAGTGTTTCGTGCTGACCCAGGTGCTTTAGTGAGACTTCTTAATAATTGGGTTGTGTGTGTGTTTATACAGCCTAGAACTTGGTCTGCCTCACAGGGGCGACGAGTCTCCCAGCCGTAGATGAGAAATTTAGCCAGTGCGGTACAGCCGCTAGCCTGGGGTCTTTAACGTGCATCACGCAGTAGTGATACACGACCGAGTGAGACTTCTTGAAGTGAAGTAGTGTGTGTTTAGAAGCTGTCGCATGTGTTAGTGATAGGAAGCGATGCGGGGTTTTGGCTGTCATAGCGCGTTTCTTTCGTTTTCCTCTTTGCTTGCTTAGCCTGTTTTTTTTTTTTTTTTTTTTTTTTTTTTTTTTGCGCTTGCGCGTGCAAACGCAGACTTTTCGGATATGTCAGATGAGTGATCCCGACAACGAGCCTTCCAGCAGCCATGTCGCCCCAAAAGGAATGCTATTTGGCTGGAGGAAATCGAGCGTTCGCGTAGCGACAAACGTGTCCAGTTAAGTTCTTGTCATATCGCTCTGGAGGCCGTCGATATTCCAACCGGGTGCCCCGGGAACATCGAACGTCCGCGACCAGACACAGCTGTTACGTAAAAAACCTGGCACAGCCAGGTGATTACGTAATAGCTGTCCATATTACGTATGGACAGCCATATTTCGAACCATATTACGTAAATTGTTTTGAATGAATATGGTACTGTTGTCGTACATCTTGGCTTGTGATCGCGACTTTGTAGATTATCGTATTCGTTTTGCTGGAGAGACTCAAACGACGGGCATAACGAAATCGGTTGCATATTCCGCATACCTTGCAAAAGCACTTCCCCAGTCACCTTGCGAAAAGCGTGAAACACGCGGAGTCCGCACATCCCGACTTCCCAGTCTTTTCCTGCTTTAGAGCAGTTTGTACCTGCCAGTAGGTATGTCTACTGAAACTTGAAACTAGGTGCAGTGCCAGAGATGCAAGGAGACAAAGTTCGGAAAGCTTGCTCGCCCTCCCCAGTTTCTGAACTTTCAAGCGATTGGACCATAATAAATGCACAACGCCTCTTCCCAAAATAAAAAAGAGCACTATGTTCACTACGTAAAAAATGGTTTGAGTTCATGCATCATTGGGCAAGTAGGAAATCTTGTTCAAATTTATTCACACCGCACGATGAGCGCAACACGTCGCTGTGCAAACGCAGTCCAGCACGAAGCATAAAAACGGAATAATTCGAAGTTCATTGTTCAATTAAAACGACGTAATTTGTTAAAACGCCCGCAGCTTTTTACTCACGGTATGCGTCGGAAATCTTCCACATCTCGAAACGGAACGAAGGGAGATTCACTTTTAAAAACGCTCGCCGT